AATGCTCCTCTCAAGGAAAGCTTCTCTTAACACACCTATATTAAATGTATTTATCTATGCATTTATTTACAAGCATATTTTAAGTTTTTAAAAATTATGAGCACTCTTTGTAGGTCTTTGTACATGTTACTGGAATGCAATTAGCAGACAGAAGCCAGTACCCAGTCTCCTGGAGCTGGAGTACCAGGCAATTGTCAATTTCCCAATACAGGTGCTGGAAACTGCACAGGGTCATTTGCAAGAATAGCACACTCTTAACTTCTGGGCCATCTCTTTAATCCTAACTTTTAATTTTCATAAATTTTGGTTTTCTGAGTGATTTATCTAGTTTAAAATTGTTTTAAATGACACATTATTTTCATAGATATGAAACAGAAACAGCTTGCTTTGTTGGTGTGTGTTTGGGGCCTGTGGACGGGTTGGAGAATGTAAATGAAAAACAGGAAGAGCATTGAAAAGAGAAGTGGATAGGCATGGGAAGCTGTATGGAAATTAACTTTTTCCATTCACTTTTTGTTATCCTTGTTTCTTCCCACATTTGTGTCTCATCTGTAAGTAAAGGTTCTCTTTTCTATGAAGCTGGCCAAGCTTCTTTGTCTTAGAAAGACGTAAAGTTAGGAAACCTCAAGCAAAACTGAAATTATTTTGTTTAGATGGAGGAAAGGGTGGATATTTTGGGTCCCGTGGGACATAGTACACCTAATACAGTTGAAACTTATATCCTGTATTTTTGAGGCAAAAACAAAGGCTTAGGTCACAAGAGTTTTGGTGAGGATTTTGTGTTCACATTGTGTTCCCACACATATAGGACCTGGGAAGTTATGCCAGGTTTTTATTTTTTTATTCTGTTTATTACATTTTATTTAAGAAGAACCATATACCAATCCCACAGATGAAGGTTCCACCCTCCCAATCTAATGACTCCAGAAGGACCCCTCTTATAATTCCATCACTCAGAGAGTTGGTATTTCAATACATGAGTTCAACATCCAAATATTCAGCCTACTGTATGCAACTATAGGAAATGGTGAACTGTCCAAAATTTCTTGTAGAAGAAAAGTTAGAGGAGGAATTCAAGTAGACAGATAATGACTTTTGCTGCTTAAAACCAGCAATCCATGAACTGAAAGAGGCTCACTGAAAGACTCCCAAGCCCATTGCTGCCTTACTTCCATAAGCTTAACAAGTTACAGACAGTACCAGAAATTAGGCAATTCTTTATGTGATAGCTCAAAGATTTGTTTTCCTGTCATAATATGGGTATTGAAAGAGATGCCAGAGTGAGTCCTATAATAATGGGGTTGGGTATTATGAAGATTCCACATACTATGGCAGGAAGATAAAGGTTAATCATGAAGTAAACTTTAGTCTGCTTATTTTTGTTAATCATGGTAAATACAAATTTTGATAATGAAACTATTATTGTATTTTTCACCGCATCACCTTTCTATGGTATAATCTTGAGTTTTTAATCTTGCTAAATTGGAACTATCAGTAAATGATTCTGCAAACGACCAAGGTAAAGGTTGTCTGAGTTATTTAGGTTTTTTTTTTTTTTTTACATTTTCATACATCTGTGTATGATGTTAGGCTTTCCTGCCTGCTCTGGGGAATCCCCTGTCTCCACATCCCAAAATGGTAATTATACTTACATGGGTTTAGGCAATCAAAACACTAAGCAGTATGTCTTCTCCATAGACCTAAAGTGGACTTAAATTTAGACAGACAAGGAACAATGCTCCATGGTTAGTCAAATATCAGTCAAGAAATTATTGTATCTAATGTGTTTTTATAATGAGGCATTATATTTTTGCATTAAGCTTCATCTTATATTTTTAATGAAAGAATATTTCTATCACTGATGACAGTGAATGGATAAATTCTGTCTCATTTAAAAATAGGTCTGAGGTACTATAATATTCTCAGGGAAAATATGAACCTGGAAATATTGGACACAAACCCTGAACATTTTATTTCTCGCACATGCATACGATGAGGGCCATGCATGGACCGAAGTGCAGACTAGAGGGGAAGTGCTAGAATCTATGTTTAAACACGTCTTCAGAATCACTGAATTTGAGGACATTTATTGCTCTAATGTAAACTACAGCTGAAGTGGTACTTAGAAAGCTTAGTGCTTGTCTATGTGAAGTAAGCGTTTCTTGTCTCAAGAAAGGCAGTCATTAGGTATTCTTTGAAATTTTCTTTTGTTTGTAGATCTACCTCTGGAAAAAATAAACTTCAACCCAAGACTTGTAGTATTTGAAACATTAAAGGCAAAACAGTTAAATTTTAATACCTGAAAAATGTAAAGTATGGCTTGATTATATTCCTACGTAGGAAATCTTCCTAACATTACCTATTTATAAAACTCCAATACTGTAACTTCAAACTTCAGTATGTGACAATTTTAAATGACTACATTGTCCCAAAATGATATAATTTATGTTCCTTAAACTTTAAAATATGTGTAGGTACATTACTAATTTCTCCCTGTCTCTATTTGTGTCATTCTCTGTCTCTCTGTCTCCACCTCTCTATGTGTATGTAAATATGGGTACATAGTATGCCTGATTATCTGGGTATGACTAGAGGTGGGTCATACATCATATGTAGATTGATGTGAGGGTGTCTACTTTAATCCCTCAATCACTTCATATATATATATATATATATACATATATATATATACACAGACATATATACATGTATATATATATATATATATATATATATATATATATATATGAGTAACACGGAATTGCTCATTCAGATATGAGGTTGTTTCAGATAAGCTGAATGGCCAAAGAATCCGTATCTACTTGTCTCTGTCCCCTTTGCCCACTGATGGGTTGGAAGCTAATACAATCAGCTTTTCACTTCCCCAGCTCTGTCTTCACTTGTTTCTCAGTTTCCTTTATTCCAAATTAATTATATCTATTTCCTTGGGGGTGTTGAGGCAGTTAAATTTAGTGCTGAGAATACTAACTCATGTCTCCATGCTTATGCATTTTACCCAAAGATTTATCTCCTCAGCCTCATAAAAATATGTATTTAATCTGAAGACATTTGGAGGGATTTTCAGAATACATTAGAAATCTAATATTTAAGTATAAAATTATATTTCAAGACTCACTAAATCTATCCCAAGGAAAATTAGTGTGTTTTGCAAACTTTTTAATTTGTAGAGATGCTTGTTGCTTTTGGAAACAGCTGCAGTTGACACAAACTGAAGTTTTATGACAAGAAAGTTTTTCACATAGACATTTTTTCAACCACTTTCAAAATTGTTGGTACTCCAATCATGGCAAATCAGTAAGTAAATTACCATAGATTCCTTGCATTTGAGCAATAACTCTACTGCCTTGTAATAAGCATGTCATTCAAATTTACCTCCTCACTCTCATTAGTTGTTTTCAGCATAGAATGCAACTTCTGTATTTAAGCAAATTTTTGTGGAGATTAGAATATGTGGATTGTGGTACGTTCAATGGTATCTGTTTGGGTGTCTTGGCAGATTAAGTGAGTTACCTCATTGTTACTCATACCCGGAGAACACAAGGACGGCACTGTTGCACTGCCAAGGGACAGAGACTCATCTCTGGATATATATATTATGTCACAGAACATTTAGTCACATTCAGAGCACAGATATATCATTAACCTCTTTCAAACAGATGAAGTACACAATTACAAGTTTGGTGATCAATGTCTGATAATCAAAGAGCATATTAAACATCCTAACACATCTCTGAGATGTTTAATTTTTTAAAACTACCCCGAATTCTCTGAAAAAGAATTCAACAATGAGCATTGTTTTTTCATATCTAACATACCACAATGAGATTTTTAGAAATGGCCTGCCATGTGATGTCTATTTGAAATCACCTACTGTTTTTTATTAATAACAAGTATCCTCTATTTTACTACACACAAAACATTGAAGTTATGAACAAATATTACATGATTATTAAACTAACATCAAATTACAATTCTACACACTTCCAAAATTTATCATAAATACAGATGACTTCTCACCAAAGAAAATACATTTAGATGGCCAAATAAAACTGAATAATTAACAAATAAAATTGACAATGTTACCTTCAGCTATCATTAATAAATGTTTTATAGATACACATGAAAACTAAATTAAATTTAAAGCAAAATATTCATGATAAAATGACTGCATATTTGCCAAAATATTGAACTTAGCAATCATAAAGAATTAATATACACTACAGACCTAGAATGGTACTCCATTAGCATTCACTTTGATATGTAGTAATAATAAAAGTAAAAACATAATTATAATTTCTGGAGACAATGAACTAGGCTGAAAAATAAACCTAGTTAATAAACATATTAGAAATATAAATGCTAAATATTTTCTATGATTAGAATTAGTAATTATACCTAGATAACTAAGTCAATAATTATTTCACATTTAATTTTAGCCACACTTGAGAAAGAAAACAGTATTTATTTTGTGTAACCGTATGCTTTTAAGTGAGCAAACACTGTACCCTTTGAGACAGGCTCTCTCACTGGACCGGGAGGTTAATGACTCTACAAGACTAGACTAGTTGACTTTGTTCCCAAAGTGTCCTCTCTTGGCCTCTGAGCATTGCAATTAAAGGTATGCACCATGACCACAGGCCTAGTTATTATATGGTGCTAGGGACAAAAGACAAGTTCTCATGTTTGCACAGTAAGCCCTTCACAAGTTTTCTATCTTCAATCTTTGAAAATATTTTCTACATACAGTATATTGTGATCAAAGTTTATATCGTTAATTTCCTCTTATAACCTCCCCTCTTTCCTAAACATCCAAATCTACAATTTTCTTTTCCTTTCTCTATTTAGAACTGTCACTTACATCATATTTTGGCATTTGAGCTAAGATCAAGTAAAGAGAATCTCAAGATTCAATAGTCCAGTTTCCCCTCATTTTTCACAATCCACAATAAATTAAATAAGCAAATGGGAAAAGCACATACCTGTCATTTCCACGACTTTAGGAAAAAATAGATTCCAAAATTGGCATTGTGGAGCACGAAGTTTAGAGTTTATTGTTGATTTTTCTGTCTTCAAGGATAGGTATTTTTGTTCAGTGCTTGTGAAGAGAGGCCACAGTGTGCTATTGGTCTGGGTCCCATTGGGATGTCTAGATGATTAAACAGAAACGTTACCATTTATATGAAATCATTGTTAGATAAAAACATCTTTCTCTGAAATTGCTGATGAATTTCAAACAATATTTTAAGAAGTAAACAGGCCATATTTTGATGATGTTAAAAATAAATGAACAGAGTTTTAAGATGTCATGCATGAATGAATTTCATTTTTAGTAACTTCAGCCACAATATTAATGAAAGCTACAGGAACTGAAATTCAGTGCATGCATTTATATGCTACATAGAAAAATATTTTATGTCTTGCAAAATATTTCTCTTTTTCAACATAGTGTCTTTGTTAATTATTTGGGAATTTCATAACATGCGCTCAGATCACACTTGCTTGCCGTTCATCTCAGGTCCACTCCCCTGACCTTATGTAACTCTACCACCACCCCAAAAGAAAAAACTACACCGAGTCTAATCTGTGTTGGCAAAATAATTCCTGCTTCTCACTTAAACACACGCAAAAAGGCAATGTTACTTTCATCCTATTATCTTTCCCTATCTCAGACTTACATGTTTGTAGTCATATTAACACTATTGCCTCTACTGCATTCTGCTAATTCTTATCAATACTGTCTGGATTTGGCACTATGCATCTCCTTATTATGCAATGGTCTTCCTATCCTAGGAAACTGGCATGCATCATTTAAAAAGCTTCTTATGTCTTATGCCGGGCGGTGGTGGCGCACGCCTTTAATCCCAGCACTCAGGAGGCAGAGGCAGGCGGATCTCTGTGAGTTCGAGGCCGGGCTGGACCGATAGCCTCCAAAACAATACAGAGAAACCCTGTCTCATAAAAACCCCCCAAAAAATAGCTTCTCATGTCTCTTCCATTTTACTCTCTAAAAGTTCTCTGTAAGAGGCATCAGGTTGTGCAAACATGCAAAAGCACCTCCCCCAAGTCTGATAACCTCAGTTTGATCTCTGTGACTAATGTGGTTCAAGTACAGAATTGATTCCTGAAAGCTGTTATTTGACTTACACATGGATTAGGTATGGGACACACACACACACACACACACACATTCCTGCACACACATGCATGAACTTATGCTTGCACACAACACCAAATACGTGAATTTGCAATAAAATTTTGAATAATTCCAACTTGAGTTCAAATCAAAGCCAAAGAATATGACATAAGCATGTTCGTTGTTATTTTCAGTTATTCTCTTAATAACCCATTCAGTAGGAATTAGAACTATTCTCTTTAGTACTCATCTGTGTTTCTTTAAAAATATCAGTGAGTAAAAATATGTACAGCTATTAAGAACCATTGATGGAAGCTATTCTAAAACGAAGTCTATAATAAAAAGAACAATAATGATTGAAAAGGGATCACCAAAGTAAAGTGATTTTGGGTAAACTAAGAAAAGTAAATTCTAATAATAACAAAAACCTAAGCCAGAAGGATATGTCAGAAAGCCAAAGAAGGAATAGAGTTAATATAAAAGCAAACATTGAATCTGTTACTTAGTCCAAATAATGATAAACAGTGTCTCAAGACTAACAGCCAAGAAACTTGTTTAGAGTTAGGATATTAGTGTTGTCAAATTTACATATGACAACTTTAGAAAACAGTGGCATTTCACTTGTAGAAATTTACTGTTCTTCAAAGGATTTGAGGCCTTTCTTTTGACATCGTAATTAGAATACTATGTAAACCTATGTGGTATGTACTTTTATTCCTATAATAAAGAAAGGATTCAAGTGATAGAAATAAGAAATCCATTCTTTTCTCTCAGTTTTATTTCTTATGCAATATTACAGAAGAAAATTTCTAGTTGAACTTTCTACAAATAGTAGACAAGACTCCATAATTCATATAGCATTTGTAGATGGTTGTTAGATAGAAATTTGCAAGTAGAAGTGGGTAACACAAAACTTTGAGATTGAGAGGAAACTCTGAAATGAAGAAAGTTTGGAAGAATAGCTAGTGTTCGTCCAAACTATTATCTAGAGGCAGATTTCCTCAAGAACTTGTATTGAATGGGCATCACAAATGCTCATTTCATCCCAGGCATGGGCATACTCAAGCATGAATTTAGGAGCTTTAGCAAGAAATAGCTTCTCGATGGCCTAGTTGATTTTATGTAGACCTTGGATGATTTAGAAAGGATTATTAATAACCAGAGCTATTTAGGCTAAACCAATATCATCCTTGGATTGAAACCTACAGCTTGAGGGTATTATTTGAAGGAGGTCAAGAGGAAAATGTGGCCTGATCGCAGATGGCGCACAGCCTGGGAGAATCATGAGGTCCTTTACCTTTCTTTAAAAGCTGTAGAAACCAACAAGTCCAGCTGCTGAAGGCTGGATGTTAAATGAGGGGAACCAGTGATGCAATGCAGAATGGCAGTTTTGTGTTGCTAAACTGCTCACTCTCCCTCTAATTCCTCTCCAATTAACTTATGGCAATGTGTTAACTGCACACTCCTTCCAGGCTGAAGCAATTGGTGGCTGTGACAGAACTGACTTTTTCTTGGGTTTGAAAGCAGGACACTAATGGTACCATCAAAGTTCATTGAGCAAACCTTGTCCTTTGACAAGACTTATGATGCCCCCCAACACAGGAGTAATGAATTTTTCTGTGCTCATGAATGCAGATACAGTTTTCAAAAACATGATTGAAGCAGCTATTCCAGCAATAGAACATTTTACCCTGTAATTTGAAGAACTCTCCCAAGAATTGAAACTTGAAAAGAAACACAATTTCTTCTTGTCTGTATCAATTAAAACTTGTGAAATGTAGTGTATTTCCCAGATACACGATTCCGAAAAAGGATGTAATTCTGATCTCACTTATAAAACACATTTCAACATCTTGAGTCTGTTATTTCTATCAAACATTTTCTGCCTTTGTCACAAAATAAAACTTGAAAGTGAATATAACATAAAAAATTTCAAGAATCACTAGACTATCCTTCTTTCTTATTGCCAGTTATTTTTCACTTTGAGATATACAAAATGTTCTAAAACTCATTATGTAGGTGTGAAAGGTTATGAGACATAGACTGTTTAGCCAACCAAAAAGAGTATCTTTTTCATCTGTATGGTATAGAAACATACCCTGCCTGTTATAAATATCTGGGCAGATATTACATGACTTCTTTATGAAAGACATTAAGATAAACCATGTATTAACTTAAGGTATCCTGGTAAGAAATAGTGAAAGTTTAGTTTCCTCTTGCAGCGTTCTTACAAAATAAAACACTAAACTTTCTTATGTTAACAGAAGAATTAAGGTATATAAATTATGGGGTAGGGAAATGGCTCTCAGTAAAGTGCACAAACACAACAAACTGAGTGTATATCACCCCTGTCTATGTAAAAGCCAGTTGTGTCCTCACTTTTGTGACTTCCAGTGTGGAGAGGCAGGAGTCAGAAGCCTCGAGCACCTTGGGCAGTAGTCTAGCTGAACCAGCTAATATCAGGTTTAATAAGATATCTGTCTCAAAATAATGTGGAACAGTACTGTGGAAGATACCTAACCCATATGAGCATATGTGCATACATGCATACACACACAGGTGCATCCACAAACACATACATATGTATAATCCATACACCAAACATTCAAAATATTAATTAAGAAGATATTTTAAATTATGTTAGGTAGCTAATTTTAAGCTGAAAATGTTGGAATGTTCCTTAAGATCTAGTAAAATGTAGTCATGGTCATTAATTATGAATTGAAGTACAACTTGAAATAATTAATTAGATACTTGGTTATATATCTGGAAGACAAAAGTACCATGAGTAATGTCTTAAATACTCAAGTATTTATGTGTTCATATTTCAAAGGCATTACTAAGTACAGTTATATGTTAAACATAACTAAAGGGTCTATTAGAGAGTTTTGTCCATTCAGTCATTCAACCAACTAATTCATTAATTCTAGCCAGTCACTATGTCAAATATCACTTTAATCATTGGATATTGAACAGAAAAAATAAGAATTACTGAATTTTGACATATGTATTCTATAAGAAATTGAGACAATGTGATTGTATATTAGATATATGCTAGATATGACTATAAACAGAGACTGGAAAGTAGGGAAAGAAGAATGAGTCTTAGTTTTGGAATAGTAGGAGGCAATGCACAATAAAGAGTGAACTATTTCTTCTAAGTTTAAACTGAAATAGCTCTACGAGTCTGCTCATATTACTAATTCTTGCAATTATTTGATATATACTGCATACATATTATACATCACCATTTCTTCAAACACTAATCATTTACACAGTTAAATTTTTTCTAACTACTTAAAATGCACAGTCTATAACTTTTATTTTTAGTTACCTTACATTTTTGGACTCTCCCCCTATATTTGATAATTTATACAATAAAGTATAAGTCATCATGTCCAGGTAATTTTGATTAATAGGGTGACTCAAAGTGGGGCTAAACATACTGATAATTGGAGACTTAGAACAGATTGGGGAAGAAACAAAAGTTACTCATTTAAAGAGCTGAGACTACCACCCATGTGACAGTCTGATTCTTAGTGAAGGGAGTGACCTCAGTCACATGAACAATGACATCAACAATTCCTATAAAAAAGAAAGGCAAGATAACATTGTGGTTACCAAACTTAAGTAGGATTCCTAGATTTTTAGTTGCCTGTGTCCAGATTTGTATAATTTCTAAGAGAATAATGCATCTCTGATGACAGTTTGGACTGTTAGCATATCTGTGCAGATCACCATGACAGACTTCTTCATGTGGGAGTAGCTAGCCTGAAAGTGGGCAACATCATTATCTAGTTGGGTTCTGGACAGTATAAGACTAGGAAAAGCTAGCTGGGTACTAAGTATGCATTTATTTCTTGCTACTTTTGAGCTTGGGTGTGAGGGTAGTAGTTGTGTCAGGCTTCTACCACTGTAACTTCCCCTTGAATTGGAAGATAACTGGTCTACCCCTGGAATCAGATTGATGAATACTCAAGCTATCATCATACAACCCCTATTCAGTAATTAAT